CGGTCGCCCGCAGTCAGCTTGGCCTTTTGATGCGTTCTTTTTCCCAACCATCCTGTGGTGTTGGGTCCTCGTTTTGAGCCCCGCGTCCCTCCCTCCCTCCCGCCTCCTCCTCCTCCTCCTCCTCCTCCGCCCTCCTCCCTGCGTTTCACCCACCCAGTACAGCGTTTCTTGGCCCCATAGGGAGCTCCACCGCAGGCCCTAGTGGCAGGGTTCGCATGCCGGCCCCGCGTTTTGGCGTACCCCTCACACGGTTCGTGGCCCCATAGGGAGCACCACCGAAGGCCCCGACAGCAGGGTTCGCATGGCGGCCGACCCCATTGTGGCGCATCCCTCACACGGTTCGTGGCCCCATAAGGAGCACCACCGAAAGCCCCAGTGGCAGGGTTTACACGGCGGCCCCGCCCCATTGTGGCGCACCCCTCACACGGTTCGTGGCCCCATGGGGAGCTCTACGGAAGGCCCCAGTGGCAGGGTTCGCATGGCGGCCCCGCCCCATTTTGGCGCACCCCTCACACGGTTCGTGGCCCCGTAGGGAGCACCACCGAAGGCCCCGACAGCAGGGTTCGCATGGCGACCCCGCGTCATTGTGGCGCACCCCTCACACGGTTCGTGGCCCCATAGGGAGCTCCACCGAAGAACCCAGTGGCAGGGTTCGCATGGCGGCCCCGCTCTATTTTGGCGCACCCCTCACACGGCTTGTGGCCCCATAGGGAGCTCCACCGAGTGCCCCAGCGGCAGGGTTCGCATGGCGGCCCAGCCCCATTGTGGCGCACCCCTCACACGGTTCGTGGCCCCATAGGGAGCTCCACCGAAGAACCCAGTGGCAGGGTTCGCATGGCGGCCCCGCCCCATTTTGGCGCACCCCTCACACGGTTCGTGGCCCCATAGGGAGCTCCACCGAAGAACCCAGTGGCAGGTTTCGCATGGCGGCCCCGCTCCATTTTGGCGCACCCCTCACACGGTTCGTGGCCCCACAGGGAGCACCACCGAGAACCCCAGTGGCAGGGTTCGCATGGCGGCCCGACCCCATTGTGGCGCATCCCTCACACGGTTCGGCCCCATAGGGAGCTCCACCGAAGGCCCCAGTGGCAGGGTTCGCATGGCGGCCCCGCCCCATTGTGGCGCACCCCTCACACGGTTCGTGGCCCCATAGGGAGCTCTACGGAAGGCCCCAGTGGCAGGGCTCGTATGGTGGCCCCGCCCCATTTTGGCGCACCCCTCACACGGTTCGTGGCCCCATTGGGAATTCCCCTTGCTTCGTCCCACCTGCCCTGCGATTCCCACATTTGCGTATGGTTGGGTCCTTCGCCAGGATAATTTTTTGTTGCCTCGAGCGCGCGCTGTCTTCGCGCTACTTGCGCCTGCACGGCGTTCTGCCGTGTGCGTTGCTTGCCCGGCGGCAACGCCTCTTTCGCCTGTGCCGCCCTCGCGCCGCCGCTTGGGCTACTGGCGCCAGGGAGCCTCTTGCGCTTCAGCTCCTGGCGTCGAACTACGCTCCGCGGCATGCTTGGTCGCTGCACTCTCCTGGCTAATTAAATTAGCACCAGACTTCTGCTTGCGCTTCAACTGGCATCGAGTTACGCTCCGCGGGATGCTTGGTCGCTGCACTTTGGCTTTGCAGCGCCTCCCCAGCAGTCTGCATGGCCGTGGCTGGATTTCTTCATCGCGTTGCGTTCGACTAAGTTCGTGCGCGATTGGCACCTCCATCTGCCCACCGCGCCTGAGGATCCTCACTTGACAAATGTGCTGGACGTTCTTTCTCTCCCGTTTTAGCTTTTCGGTTCTCGGTTTTTTGCCGACCAACACAGAAACACGACAGACCAACACAGTAAACCTTCGGACGAGCAAAATGGAACCGAAGCAACACGGGCGTGTAAGATAATCCCCCAATGGAAAAATTGAGCCCGAAACGAAAATCAAAGTGAGAACTGAGGCAATTCTAGCGTTTTTGCATATATATATATATACCGCATAGATCACCCTTCGGGTGATAAAGAGGTGAGGGGGGGAGGGACCAACGTCGCACTCGATTGATTTCACTATCGAACTCACTACTGATCTCACAATCGATCTCAATCGATAGATCTCACAATCGATCTGACTATCGATCTCACAATAAATCTCACAATCGATCCCACAATCGATCTCACATTCGATCTCGCCATTGATCTCACAATCGATATCACAATCGATCTCGCATTCGATCTGACTATCAAACTCACTATCGATCTCATTATCGATCTCACATTCGGTCTCACTATCGATCTCACTATCGATATCACAATCGATCTCACAATCGATCTCGCATTCGGCCTCATTATCGATCTCTCTATCGAATTCACTTTCGATATCATTATCGATCTCTCTATCGATCTCATTATCGATACCACACCGAATGCACAATCGATCTCACATTCGGTCTCATCATCGATCTCACTATCGAAATCACTACCGATCTCATTACCGATAGTGATCTCACTACTAACTAAATCGATCGATCTCACAATCGATCTGACTATCGATCTCACAATAGATTCCACAATCGATCTCACATTCGGTCTCAATATCGATCTCACTATCGATATCACAATCGATCTCACAATCGATATCCCATTCGGTCCCACAGTCGATCTCAGTATCGATCTCATTATCGATCTCACATTCGGTCTCACTATCGATCTCACAATCGAATTCACAAGCGATCTGACATTCGATATCACGTTCGATTTCACAATCGATATCACTACCGATCTCACTACCGATCATCAACATCGTCATCATCATCACCATCATCATCATCATCAATATCATCACCATAATCGAGACACCGACGGGGCACCGGCGGGACACCGCGGGCCCCCGGCCGCCCGGAAGGGAACCATTTCGTCCGGCCGCGCCTCAGCCACACGGGACACCAGCGGGACACCGGCGGGACACCGCGGGCCCCCGGCCGCCCGGAAGGGAGTCATTTGGTCCGGCCGCGCCTCAGCCACACGGGACACCAGCGGGACACCGGCGGGACACCGCGGGCCCCCGGCCGCCCGGAAGGGAGACATTTGGTCCGGCCGCGCCTCAGCCACAGGAGACTTTCTCTCGCCCGCCCACGCAGCTTCGCCTCGCCCGCACGGCACGCACGAACACGAAACCGAAGTCGATTTCCCGGTAGGGGGCTCTCCGTTCCACTTCGATCTCACCCCTTCACCTCCGATATATACACGTGTAATTAGATACACATTATTTGAAATGTATTATTTGAGTCCGCGGCGGTTTGCCAGCCCGCTTTCAGGACTTGGCGCGGGGGGGGCTCCATCGTCTGGCCAGCCCACCGCCCTCCTCGATGACTTCCAGCGGTCGTGTGCCGTCGCCAGTGCGTCCACACTGCTGGATGCAGGTCGCTCGTTCGAACGCGTCCCTCTCAAGCATTCGCGACGGCGCCGTCACCTCGCCAGAGGAGACAGAGCCGCCGCCGTTCCCTCCGCGGCCGACCCCGCCGACCGCCAATGGTCGAGCGCCCAGGCCGCGCTCGCGCGGCTGGGCAGCCTCGACGCCCCCCGCCTCCGCTCGCAGTGCGTCGCCAGGGCACCCGTGGGCCCTGACCGCCAGCGGTGGGCCTGCGCGCCCACGTCCCTGAACTTCAATTTTGCCGCGTGCTTCGCGGGGATGCTCCCCGCATCTGATGCCGCTGGCCAGACTTCGCGGGTGCGTGGGAGGAGAAGCCTGCGCGCCCACCTCCACCGTGCATCCTTGCGTCCGAGGGGCTGGGGCACGTCAGCCCCCCACAGCCGCGCCCCCCACAGCTGCGCCCGCTTTCCCTCAGAGATCTTCCGCTCTCAGCTGGCGTCTGCTGTTCCAGCGCTCCTTGCATTCCGGACGAATCTACCAGGCGCTCGCCGACCAGGCCACGGCGCGCGCTGAGCGTGCCACGTTACGGCGCTGAGCGTGCCACGGCGCGCTGAGTTTGACAGGGTGCACAGGCAACAGACGCAACATGTGATCACGGGATGTGCTAGCGGCGAAACGCTGTTCGACGTCCAACACATAGTCATATTGACCAGCTACGGTCAATTCAGAATGTTTGCTTCCAATGTATGTAGTGTCGGAGCCAGCGAGGAGCCTCGGATCGGCCACTGAGAATATGGCACAGGCTGCCCATGATAGCACATGCCCGATCTGGGACGGCACCGTGGCCAGCTCCAATCAGTACTTTCTATGCGTGAAGCTTTACGGCGTTGGCAGTGCGATGGGCAGCAGAAGCGCTCTGATGGCTCAGCTCCAGGGTTGTGCCGAAGGCAGAGTTCAGAAGTACTGCGACAAGACGGGTACCTGGGACGTTGCCCATGGACGTTGCCGAGCCGGAGGAGCTCCTTACGTCCACGAGCAGTCGAACTGCCTGGAGGTGTACCTGTCGCGCCATTACATTACATGTATACCCTCACGCAGAAGACATTGAAGACTAGCCCACGCAAAAGGCCATCAAACATATTGGTAGCAAATCAGACGACAAGACGCGGACTAGTCATGTCTCGAGGATGCCACGGCTTCTCAGGAGCAGCGCTGGGCTCAAAGATAAGAAACGGCGTCTTCTGGGTACGCTGGTAGGAAACCAGGCGGGGGTGCGCCCCCCCCTCCTCGAATATCCTGGGGTGGTGGGCTTCGTGGACCCCCCTCGAAAGTGAGAATCGGGTGGGGTGGGGTGGGGTGGGTTCGACCTCCCCCCTGGAGCCGCCAGACAACGAGGAGGAGGACGACGGCGACGACGAGGACCGCGGCGACGACGAGTCCCGCCCGCCCGCCCCGGCGCCAGCAATCGACGACGAACACGACGACGCGGGCGACGACGACGACGTGCCCCGCCCGCCCGACCGACTCGCCCGCGACCACACGCGAGGCCGACAGCCTCGATCCTCGAAGCTCGACCCTCGAAGTTCGAGGCGTCGGACTCCGCATCCCTCCCCGCCCGCGCACAAGCCGCCCCCGGCGACCTGCCAGCGGGCCCGCAGGCGTGCGAGAGGGCCGCGGCCGGCGAGACCTCTGGCAACACGGTGCGCCCCGCCGGGGCCGGCAGAGCGCGTTTTTTTTTTCTCTTGGCTTCCCTGCCCTGGTCACATAGGTTGGCCACGTTCAGAGGGGGGTGGGGGGAGGGGGGAGGGCGTCCTAGAAGCACCCGTGCTTCTTAGAAGGCGCGGGCCTGATCTATAGATGAAGGAGGAATCAGCCTCCTTGTCAGAAGCCCTCCCTCTCTCCCTCCACTCCATTTTGCGCAGCGCCAACGCACAGGGGAACGAAGACTGACATGAACATACAAACTCGGAGGTCCGCGCGGATTTCTCGGATCCTCGCTGGGCCCCCCTGGCGGCGCCTCCGGCGCCGAGGGGTCCAGCGCCGATACGAGATATCCGCCCAGACCTCCGAGTTTTGATGCTGATTTCAGTATTCGTTCCCCCAGGTCAGCCGATATCGGCCACGCACAGAGCGGGGTGGGTGGAGGGGGGAGGGCTTCTTAGAAGCACTCCTGCTTCTTAGAAGGCGCGGGCCTTCTCGACAGATGCAAGGCCGCCGCCTTCTAAGAAGCAGCCTCCTAAGACGCCCTCCCCCCTCCCTCCACCCCCTTTTGCGCGCCGCCAACGATAGAGGGATCGGTGGAGGGATTCATTGACCGAGGCCTTTGCAAGAGATTCGGCCTCCGAGGGGTCCGTTTCCGGGCCTGGGGGCCAGCAAGAAGGGTCAGGGGAGGAAAAACCACCCGGACCCGATAGTTGGCGTTTACTAAACGGCCCTGGGCGTACTAAACAAACAGCCCTGCCCTGTTCGACTCCTCCTCTGGGTGCGTCCTCTCTTGTCGGGGTGGTTTTATGGGGGTGGATTTTTGCCCTCTAAATGGATCTGGGTCGACAGCCTGCCCTCGGGGAGGGGTCGACTTGGGGGCGCGCCGTCGTCGTCGTCGTCGTCGTCGTCGTCGTCGTCGTCGTCGTCGTCGTCGTCGTCGTCGTCGTCGTCGTCGTCGTCGTCGTCGTCCTTCTCGTCTCTCCCTTGTTGGGGGCCGCGGAGGCCGCCCGCACCGTCCCTCTCTCTCGCTGGCGATCCGCGACTGTGGCTCGATGGATCGCTGCGCTCACGAGCGGTTTCGATTCGCTCATGATCGTTAGTCTCGCCTCTGGCTCCCTGCAGAGTGGGGCTTAGTGGCCTGCCGACTCTTCTCCAATCGAGTTGTGGGGATAAATCCAGTTGTGTCGAAGCAGATCGCCGCAGTTCGAGGTACATCCAAACCAGGCGAGGTAAATCCCGAGATATCCAGGTGCGTAATTATGTCTAGAGAGACCGTGGGAGCCCCAGCACAAGTCGAGGCGCGGCAGAGGTTGCGAAGCCCTTGACGACTGGCCTCGCCGCCGCTCCACGCACGTGTGCTTCGTGCCCTCTGAGCCTATCGACTCCAAGAGTGCATTCGATCAGACTGGTTTTTCGATGTCTGATTCGTTGGGTTTTCTGTCCGACGTACGGCAGGTTGGTGTCGTGTCGGCGTGGCGTCGATCCCGGCGCGAGCGTTCGAGGATGAACGCCTCCAGTGGCCCCGAAGTGGTCGCGATCGAGCGATCTGCGCTATCCGAGAGGCGCGATTGGTCAAGGTGGAACGATCCACGCGGTGCCAGAAGCCAGCGCGCCAGTCGTCACGAAACGAGCCGGCCGTTTTGCCTCTGCCCGCGTCGCCTCTTCCTGTTCCATTCCCATTTGCTTCTCTAGGAGGTCGGGCAGGTCATCGCCTGGGAGTTCCCAGGCTCAGTTTTTGCCCTGCTTGGGCGTTCGCTCTGCCGCCGCCTCGCCGTGGACCGATCGCGCCCAGAGCGCTGTCAAGGAGGAAGCCTGGATCGGACCACAGCGGCAGTGCAGGAAGAGTGCTGGCATCTTGTCGACAACTCAGATGGTGTCTGGCCAGCGCGCGTCCTCAGCAGGCCGTCCTGCCCGAGGGGGTATCGCCCAACGGCCCTCGCGTTCGTCTTTGGCCCGAGAGATGCCACCACGTTCTTTACGATGTGTTGCTGCGAATTTCGATTTTGATACATACGCAATAAGTGTTTTGGTACGTCCACATGGTACGTACGCGCATGCATCCACCCATCCATGTGTGCATATATAATGTCATGTCGTGTAATGCAATGTAATGTAATGTAGTGTAATGCAATGCAATGTAATGTAATGTAATGTGATGTAATGCAATGCAATGTAATGTAGTGCAATGTAATGTAATGTAATGTAACGTATTGTAATGTAATGTAACATAATGTGGTGTCATGTAATGTAATGTACTGTATTGTACAGCACTGTGATGTAATGTAATGCCATCTGTGGGTATGTAGGTATGTAGCAATGTGGGTATGTGTGTATGTAGGGATGTGCATATGGATTTTTTGGATGTATGCACGGATATTAGGTATGCATGTTTGTATGTATGTATGTATGTTTGCATGTATACACACATATATGTACATATATATATATATACATATATATATATGTATACACAAGATTTTGAAGGCTCGCTCCGCTTCGCCTTAAATCTTGGCCCATGGAATTTTTGAGAACATGTGTTTGTGAAGGGTGGGGAAGCCCATGGATCCGCGGAAATCTGGGGGCCCCCCCCATCGGCTTCTCTCGGAACATCGCCTTGGCCCGGCATTGCCTCCCGTTCCGGGGCGCCCCTCGAGCGCGGGCATGCGCGGGGCGAGGGAAGGGAGCGTGGAGAGCCGTGGAAGAGCTGTTAGGAAAAAGGAGAGAATAATAATGCAATGGGGATACCAACATCAAACTGCGGGTACATTCATTGGCTGCCCCTCGCTCGAGCGCGAAGCTGGAGGTGCCGGCGCGCCCAGTTGCTCAAGGGCCGTGTAAACGATAGTGGTCACAGAGCGCGCCGTGGAGGGAGAGAGAGAGAGAGAGAGAGAGAGAGAAGAAGAGGATGGAAGGCTGGACGATGCCGTGGCCCCGCAGGGAGCGAGAGAGATGAAGGGTTGAGTCGTGTTTTTTGTTTTTGTGGCAGTGCGTTGGGGAAGTCGCCTTACTCACGCCGCCCGCTTGCGGTCCCTGGCGGCAGCCGCGCCCCAAACGTGCGGCAGGAGGACTTGCCGATGCCAGCGCCGGTGGGCCGCGCGCATCTCTTCCAGCCACGAGTCAGTCGTCTCTGTCTTCCTCAGGCGCGTGCCATAAACGAACGTGCGCACTTCGCAAACTGTGTATTGCGATTCGTGAAAATCCATGGCGTGGAAGCCAAGCAAGTCGTTCACTTTTGAATGCAACGACATGTTCTCTTGCCTGGATGTCAACAGCTGGATCAACGTGTGGCCGAGTTCCCGCTCGCTTTTGGAAGCGTTCGTGGCAACGGTGGCCCCGGCAGCCTCCACGGGCTCTCTGTCTGCCAAGGAGTTGTAAATCGAGAAGGCGTCTGGGCACAACTTCCGCAAGAAATGAAAATCCCCATCTCCAACATGTTCAAGGAAAGAACTGTCTGGTATGATCGATTGATCCCAATTGCGCGCCCCGAGCGAGGTCCGAAAAAAACGCACGTGTGCCAGCTGTGCCTGATAAGGCAGCCACTGCGCGTGCGTGGCAAGGAGTGTTTTTGTCATTTGAACCAGCAGAACGGGGCTCGTCTTGAGCTGGGCACTGTGCTCTCGTAGGGTTCCGGCAATGTAGTGCATGCGCACAGCAACTCTGTGGGGTTTTGTCCCGGATCCGATGCCGAGTATGCCACCCGAAGAAGCCGTTCTGATAGACTTCTGTTCGCTGGGTGGCAACATGTTGCCTGTGGATGCGTTCGCCGCCCCGTCGGGCCAGAAGCGTGTGGAGGGGGATGTGGAAGGGAAGTGATCAGAGGAGGGGCGCGGAGGCCTGGAGGAGGGGGGGGGCGGACAAGTTAGCAGGGGATGACGATGGTACAGGAAAGCAAAGAGGGAGGAAGGGAGAGGGCGACGGAGCAGGGGGAGTAGCATGAGGGCGGGGGGCAGGAAAGCGGAGAGAGAACACGTGCAGAAGGAGAATGACGAGGGGGGGGAAGACCAAGAAGCGGAAGAGGTGGAGGCATCGGGAGGAGGTTGGCGACCCTGGAATTCGGAGAAGCAATGGCGAGGGCTGATCAGGAAGAGCTGGGAGAAGAAACGAGGACGCAGGAGAGAGGGGCTCAAAGGGGCGACCCCGCGTACCCGAAAGGGCGTGGGGGTCAGACTGCTAGGGCTTAAGGACCACCCTGCCCACAACAGGCATGAGAGGTTCGCGCCGAAGTGTGGGTGCACCGTGAATGCGTAGCCGGGCAAGGATGCATTCTGCAGCGCATGGGGGGAGGTTGGTAATGACGGGACGGAAAAGGAGTTAACGAGGAAGGGGGAGGGGGGCGACGAAGAGGAATACAGGGAGTACAATGCGCCGTGACGGCGTGGCCACCGCAGGGAAACATCTGTCACCGGGAAGAGGTCTTGCAACTCCTGTGGAGTCGGGGGGGGGGGGGGGTCCGAGGGTTCTGTGAGGTCTATTGGGTCTCTAGGCATCTGGTGTGGTGCTCTGGGGCCCTGTATGTCCTGTGCGATCCTGCGGCTTCGGATGGTTTGCGGGAGGGTCGTGTTGGTCGGGGAAGGCGGGTGATGTCGTCTGGGGTCTGGTGGGATTGGAAGGGTCCTGTGGGGGCCGATTGAGTTTAGTAGGGTCCTGAGGGGCCGTGCAGAATTCCGTGAGGACCCGTGGGGTCGTGCCGTTTCCGTCTGGATTTCTTGTGCTTTGTCGTCTTGTGAGATATTGTGAGGTCCTGCGAGCTAGTGCCGTTTTTTCCTGGGCTTCTCAGGGGCCCTCTGGGGTGCCGTGCTCAGGGTGGTGGGGTGGCGGGCGGCTTGCGCGGAGCGCTTGATGGAAAAGCAAGTCGAAATGTGCGAAACGATGGATGCAGGCGGCGGCTAGCGCGCTCGACCCAGCAGACGACTCCGGAATAACATTCAAAATGTGCAAGACCCGCCGACGCCCGCATAGCAGAGGGGGAGTGCGTCTTAGATTATTGGCTTCTTCC